GGTGTGGGGGCTAGTGGGTCCAGGAGCAGAGGCAGCATTTGGGGTCTCAGGTCAGGTAGGGGGGGCCCTGGGGGTCCAGGATGCTGCCTCCAGGCAATAGGAGCTTTGCCAAAGATTCATTTTTCAACCTGAAATTCTCCTGGCTGCCTGGTAAAGGCTGAGCCATTTTAGGCCACCTGGACCAGCCCATCCTAAGGAGGAAGCCAGGCGAGAGGATGTTTTGCTTTCTCAGTTAAAAGGAAAGCAATGCAGCCATCTCCTCTGTAGGAAGGAAAAACATCCCTGTGTTTTTTAGCAGAGGTTTGTAATTTAGTGCAGGGCAGCTGTCGGGAGGGGTCAGTCCTTACCACCGCAATGGCATCTGCCCCAAAGCGGCCAGGCTGGTGTGAAACCACCGTTGGCATGTGCTGAGGGGAGAGATGGTGGGATGCCCCAGCTCATCCCCTGGAGGTGCCACACCAGGGCTCAGAGCCATCGCAGTCCTGGGTGGCAGTGGGCCTGGAGCCCTCCCTGTGCCACCACATACCCTCACCCATCCAGCCCAGCCCCAAGGACCTGTGCTCTCCGGTGTTGAGCTGGGGTGGGGATCACGAGCCCCACCAGAAACCAGCTCTGGGCTGTCAGCACTTGCCTCCCCATGCTGGCACCAGGGCAAGCGAGGGGGAAAAAGCCACCCAATGTCACACAGGGCACCCCAGGGTGCTGGGGGAGACAGGCCAGAAGGACTGAACTGGAAGGAGCAGCCCCAACAGATGAAGTTCAGGGCTGAGTGGGATCCAAGGTGGCCTCTTCCCCTCACCACCAGTCCCAAAACGGGTCTCCGCCTGGGGATCTCCCACAGGATCTGCGCTGTCGGATATGTAAGGAACAGCCCCATGCGCATTTGGGGAGGCTGAGGCTTCCCCGAGGAGCAGCCAGGAGGGCGGTGGGCATGCGGGTCCTGGCACCACGCTTGCAGGCAGTGAGGCACTGGGCATGCCGCTGCATCTGAGCCGGGAATCCACCGCATCGGGGCTGAGGTGCGGGTCTGACAGCGTGTGAACAGCGACGGGGCCAGAGATGTGCAGGCACCGCGCGTAGCGCTAGCACCGGTATGGAAAGCTAATACATGAGCATGTGTGTGAGTGTGTATAGCGAGCCCATGCGTGCACTGCACTGCCCCTGTCCTGGCAGGGGGTGCCGGTCATGTCTGCACCCACTTTAAAGCCCCTTTGCCATCCCGCTTGGGTCGCACTCCCTGTGACCAAGATCCACATGGCATTGATACGGAGTGCAGCCAAAGTGAATCGGACGTGAGTGGGGTTTATTTATTTTTATATCCATTAATATTTCTCTCTTCAATAAAGATCCCTCCCTGGCCCAGCAGAATATAGTCAGGCACCTCCCCGGGTGTTTTTAAAGCTTCTAAAAATAGTGACAAGCCCCAGCCAAAGTTAACAGAGCTGAACTTTCCATGGAAAACAGCAGCAGACAGGACACAGGGGGTGTTTAAAGCAATTAATGTAAAGCTAACGTAGAAGCGCCGACGGGTCCCCGGCCCCGCTCCCGGTCCTGCTGCTGTCTCGCAACGGGTGGCTCTGGCAGGAGAGCTTATTTATGTGTTTGCCAAGGTGAGCCCAGCTCTCAGTGCTCGCCCGGAGAAAGCTGCAGCTCCGGGGAAGACCTGGAGGAAGATACTTGAAAGAATTTTATTTTTTAAGGCCAGTGAAGTGCGGCAGCAACAGACAAGACCTTGTTCTTTCACTATGCCCCCCTGCCATGCTGTGGGGTGGCCATGGGGTGCTGTGCAGAGCTGGGGTGTTCCTGGGAAGAGTGGCACAAAACTGGGGCTCTCCCAAAGCTCAGCCCGCCCAGAGGTGCCCAAGCACCCATGACTGCTGCCTTGCCATGCTGTGCCTGTGGGACACCCAGGTGGGGTGCCAGGAGGTGACGTGCCCTGGGGAGAAGGGGATGAGAACCCCTTTTTCGCCCAGGCCAAGGGGTGCTGGGGGTGATGCTGGTCTGTTCCCCACAGACTGGCGGGGGGCCGACGGGCCGGCCCCCCGACG